ATCTCGAGCCAAAGGCCTTCAAATAAAATTTGAAAATCATCATCGTAATTTGACAAACTTTGTTTATCCAGCCACATTTCAGATTATTCACACCTTACATCTTGCGAAAAAAACTTGAATAACGGAAATAGTATGTGATACAGATTGTTCTCATAGAGATCTTCTGACAGTCGGCCATCTGAAGCTGAATGATCCAGAGAACCAGCAAAGGCATCTAACAAGCTAATTCTAATCTTCGAATAATGTCACAATATGTAATATTTTTATTTAAAAAATTTAAGACTTTGAGAGAAACCAATATAAATAAGGCATTAGCTCTTAGTACATTACATTTGCTTGATGGAAAAACGATAAGAGTCTTAGTAAAAAATATCACGTTTTAGATGAGTTTAGTGCCATTCTGCAAGGATGCGAATGGATTTTGCATATACATATTGCTTTGCAAAGGTTATTTATTTGAGCGGTAAAGTCATATAATGCTAGTCTGACTTCGCCTTCCCAACTTGGCTTACACGATAAGTAGACCTCGTAAGACGCACCTGGTTCTGCATTGTTTGCCATAGTATTTTGTTTATTTCCAGCTTAGGCTGTTGATTTTGTACATTCTAAAAACATTTCGCAGACAACTTATCAATCACAAGGCACGATTTGGTTGTTATTTATAAATTCATTATGTAAGCTGGTGTGTTCATCCGAAACAGACTACATTTAAACTTCAACAGCGCCTCTGGCAAGATTCTAACGCAGAATATGCTAAGGCCAAGTTAAAGCAGCCATTATGGGTAAAATGATTTGGCTACAAATTTTAATGATGTAGAAACATAACTGAAGAAATTGTATCCAACAGCTTACCTGAGAAGACATGTCCAGAAAGTGACAGGAAGCACAGAGGCCCAAGAAATTAAGAGAAATAAAAATTATAGATAGCAAATGTTGGGATACCACCACTAAAGATATTCGATAAAATAGATATTAATTATCATGTTGCGTAGCCTATAAAATGGATTTTAGTAGGAACCCAAACCAATAATACCGAACACATATTGAGTAATAAAATAAAATGAGATTTAATGTCAAAGAATAATATAAATGGCTTCAAAAATGGCAAGTGCATTAATGGGTTGATGAAGAGAATATATTAACTGTTCTAAAATATAGAAAGAAAAATATGATTCATTGGTAAAATTAGATTATGCAATAGTATAAAGGTAAAGATACAAATAAGACAAAGGGTAGTTAACTTTGACAAGAAGAAATTAAATTGATTAAAAATAATTAAGTCAAAAAATGCATAAAACAATCAAATTTATAATAAAATACTTTATCATAAAATAATACGATACATGAGAGCATAATGAAGTAACCAACTCACCTAATTCAGACTTTTCAAAATCATCAAGAAGTTTATCCAAATCGAGAACGAAGTTATCCATCAAATATATTTAAAGGTCATTTTAAATTATGTTGACATATTTAAAAATATATTTAAAATTATATGCAGATAAGCCAACATTTCGAGAGGTTTACGTGGTACATGGGTATCGCCCATCAAGCACAGCGCTTGACGGTAAAAGATCATAACAAGAGTAAGTTAAATTAATTTAAGATGTATAATTCTAAGATTACTCCTATTAAGAAATTTTTTTATAAACCCAGTTTTTGCAATAATTTTACTATTTATAAAAGATTTTTGAGTTCCTTGAACAAGGCTAGATTAACATTGGTTTGACTTTGTTTTCGCAACTTGGTCGGAGCGTCAGGTAGACCTTGTTGAACTTACATGTTCGCGTGTCATCTGCCATAGTATTTGTAATTTGCAGCATTGGTCCATTTGTTGGGTACATTCTCAAGCGTTTGGCCGGCATCATCAGTGAGAGGCGCCATCGTATGCACAGGGTTACAACCTCTTAAATCGTTGTGGCATCAGATCCTACCTCTATTTTTATGCTAGCATTAAGTACCGCATCTTTTTTACTTAACTCTACTTCATATGCCTCATCGAATCATTCACACAGTTCTCTGCTCTCTTTTCCTCCAATGTCGCCAAAGAGTGTTCCGCAACAAGTGCATTTAGTAAAGCGTAATCATCTTTACCAACAATATCGAATACCGTTTGTAGGGCTCCTGAGAAACAGTCTGTTCTCTCTTTTTTCCCTACCAGCTTGTCAACTGGCAGCTGCTAAACATAAAAATCATATGAAGATATGAAGAGAAGGCGTTGTGGCCTCTAGTTTGGTCGCAGTCTCCTGTCGATATATAGAAGTGGGTTGACCTCGTTGTCGCAACTTGGTCTTGTTTTCAGGGCGACTTAGTAAAACGCACCTAGTCTGAAATTGTCTGATACAGTAGTTCTTATGATTCCCAGTACTTTCCAGTGAACTAACTCAGAAACTACGGACAATATTGAGCAAATGGAATATTCAGGTGGCCATGAATGAGAAATCAACTCTTTTCACAAGTTAAACGACGCTATATGAAAGGGTAGATAAATTGGATTAATAAGAAGTTTACTGTATATCATGCGGCGCATGCAACCAGAAATATATTGGCGAAAAAAGGAGAAAAATTAGCACACGAATCAAGGAACATCAAGGGCTCTGCAGGAAAATGGATACCGAAAAATCAAAACTAGCGGAACACATCGCACAAACTGGACACGAGATCAATTGAAAGGCAATATAAAGAAGAGCCCCATACGGTGACAACACAAAGAAGCGGAAAATAAGAAAGGCAATTAAAATCCTTAGGGAGAAAAATTGAATGAACAGGAGATTGTAGGAAAGTAAAACTAGCAATAACTTAGCCTACTGCCTAAGCAAACTCGAGAAAAACAAGAATATAGCAAGACCAGTTAAAGGGAGACGCCTGGATCAAGGATCTACCGCTGAACGGAGGAAAATAAGTCGAGATGAAGAAGGTGGGGCAGGGGATTTCGGCAATAAAACGAAGACTTTGTCAGTGAGTGATATCCATTTCGAAAACACCAATACAACTTTGGGGGTCTGGCAGTCAGGAAGCTTAGCAGACCCATGAGCGAACCGCCACGGAAATTTGGCGTTATGGCCAACATGTACTAGATATTCACTTGAGATGCGACCAGAGATAGGCGTCCACAGTTTGCTCAGAGAACATGGGTCTATTTAAGGAGAGGACTCGTAAAGGAAAGGCCGGATATCTGCAAGCATGGAAATCAGAGCTTAGGCGCTCTGTTTAGTGAAGCGGCAGTGTATGCGCTTCTAGGGCCTTGAGAAATGGCGCCTGGAGTGAAATGCACAGTGGGACTGGAACCGAGTGAAATCAGTCAACCAGAAAGATAAGGAAGAGATCTACGTGACATTGAGGGGATCCGGATTGGAGGCCCGAGTCGGATCAGCGGATCGAAAGAGAGGAAGTCGGGGTGAATAGCAAGTGTGATGAGATCACATTAGATTTTTCCACAAAACTGCACACATTTTGACGGGTGGAATGAAAATAAGTGAGAAGTTGTGATAGGGTGGCAGTGGGATAGGAGGATAAAGAGGATATAAATAGACCAGGACAGAAAGAGGAGTGATGGTGTAACCGTTTTCGGCAGAACGTTTGTTGAGGGATTGACTTAACTTGACGAGTTCGTAGCTTAGGGCAGAAAATTACAAAACTCACTGATGATGCCGACTACAATACCGGCGAAGCGTTTGAGAATGCACCAAGTCCAATGTCTGACGTTGGGAATCATGACAACTACTACGGCAGACGACTTCGGACTAGGTGCGTTTTACCAAGT